TATATATATATATATATATATATATATTTCCTTCGTGTGCCTTGTTCCCCCTTTTGGTATTCTCAGAGGGCTTTCGCTTTTTTTGTAGTGTGTGCTCCTTCTTGGTTTTCTTCATTGTTGGACCGGGCCGTCGTCTAATCCCCCTGCATCCTCTTCCTTGTCTCCCTTCGCTCTCTTCTTCTCCGCTGGAGCGGAGCTCTCGCTGAGGGTGTTGTTGCCACCGTCGCGGGAAGTGGGTGCCGCCCTCGGCAGCCGAATCAGTTTGCTGGGAATCGTGAGCTTCAACTCTTTGCCAGTCACGACGCCGAGAACGTTGAAGAGCTCGGGGTGCTGCACGTACAACATCTTTGCCAACCGCACACACTCCGCCGCGGCAAAAAAGACGAGGCACAACGTATTGATGTCGCCGTCGCTGCTGCTGCCCCTGCCATTGGCGTCTCCGTTGGTGGTGGGCCCGCGCTGGTTGGGGCGGGAGGAGTGCATCATCACCTCCTGCACGCAGCCAACGTGGTCCTCGAAGAATTTGTGCACAACCGACGACGCCGTATCCTGCGACAGGTTACGCACCGCAAGGCCAAGTGAACTGCAGCGTCGCGTGCGCTCCTCCACGCCCATCGACTCCTGATACGCCCGCAAGGCGTCAATGAAACCTAAATTTGGTTCCACGCAGGGCCGGCGGCGGGTGACGTACTGCAGCGCCTCGGCCACTGTCCAGCCGTTGTGGCGGATGAGGTAGGCAAGGACGATGGTGGCGGACCGGCTCTTCCCGCGCTGGCAGTGCACCAGCGCGCGAGGGCCCACACCTGTACCACCCTTGCAGGCATAGTAGTACGCCTTACGCGTTTGCTCAAGGAGCATGTAGGTGGGCCGAAAAAACTGCTGAATGTCTGCATCGCTTGTGTCGTCTACGGCAAACGGGTGGATGACAATGCCGCGATCCACAGACCAGTATTCTTCACGCGAGACGTTGAGAATGGTCACTATATTCTCTCGACGCAAAAATTCTGCGTTCGTCGCGTCACGCACTCCCCCAATGAAAAGAAAGTCAAGTATCTTTGTTGGTGGTTCACACCCTCGTGAAGAGAAGGACATCATTTTTCCCGAAGAGGAATGCAGCGGTATATGACCGCGACTAGTCGACAGCGCAGGTGAGCTGCCGGGCGCAGAGGAGCGCTGCTGCTGCCGCGCTGGCGTCTGACAACTGTGCGCTACACGAGCACCTCCTCCCACTTTACTCCCGCCGCTGTTTTTCCTATTATTATTGCTATTACTACAACTACTACTTCTGGCATGACTGCTGATGCTGTTGTCAAGGCGGCGAAGATCGACAATATTCTTGTCAGAGAAGCAGTGATGTCGGCGGTGGTGGTGCCGCTTTGCGCTGCCACTGATGCCGTTTGGATGATACCCGCCACGCGCAAAGGCCGGTGGTGGCGGTGGTGGCGGCGACGACGACGACGGCAACGCTTCCGCTGCGGCGGGCTGCTGTAACTCCATTCCCCGTGGCGCCTTCGTTTACAGGCGTCTTCTTCTCTTTCCCCTACGCTTATTTTTGTTGTGTGTTTTGTTTTTATTAGAGAAGGAGGGGGGAAAAAAAAATCTTCTTGTGGCTGTGCCGGCCGCTGCCTCTTTTTTGCCCGGCTGCGTCTTCTACGACGTGTGCTTGTGTCGGCGCCACCCGTGGGCGCAGGCTCAAATGCAGCGACGCGAAACTATGTGTTTTTCCTTGCGGACGGCTTGCTGCGGCGTGTCTCGCAAACGCAGCAGCGGCCGCCGTCGTCTGGGGTGTCGCCTACACGTGTTGTGTTGCGTGGACACGCGTATGCCTTTTTTTTTTACGTTTTAAAGAGAGGGGGACGGGGGCTGCCGCACGTGTCTTCCCTCTCACTGTGTAGTGTTGCATGCTGCACGGGGGCAGCGTAAAACGCCAGCCGATAGTACGGTAATCAGAAGAAGTGAAAAAGGGGGACGCAAACGTGTGTGTGTGTGTGTGTGTGTGTTTGATAGAGAAACAAAATAGACAGATAGAGCGTGGGGAGGGGAATGGGGGGAGCGCACACATTGACGTATTTGCCCTCTCTGCGTGTACGCATGCGCGCCGCAGAAACAGCAACGAGAGTGAAAAAGACTTTTGCGTTCACGGCACCGAGGCACGGCATAACGCTAACTCCCGGCCATGCGGACAAGCATACACGCAAGAAGGACGGCTGGGCGAGTGAAACACTTGGCTTGGGTACACAACGCGCTGGAAGAAACGCGAAGGCACACCCTCGCGCACATGCTAAGAAGCCTCCTGCATCATGAGTGAGGCAATCTCCTGCACCAACAACTCTGCCAAGCACGTCTGATGGGCCTTCACCGCGATACTTACGCCTTTCCTGGCCCCCTCCACCGCCTCCTCGCGCAGAAGCACGGCGACGTGTGACTTCTCCGCCGTCGACTTCCGCGCGTGCAACACGCCGTGAAACGATGCGACATCCTTGAAGACGTCAACGGTTCTCAACCGCAGTTTCGGCAGTATCAGCGAGAGCGCGAGCGAAACACGACTCAAATTGACGTCAACAAATCCAGTGACCAACGGCGCAGCCGCAAGGAACTTCCCAAGGATTGTCTCTCTGAATTCCGCGGGTGCGATATCCTTCGGCACCTTCGCGAAATAAGGGTAACAGAGGGGCAGCTGTAACGTGGTAGCCACAGGTTTCTTGCCTCTTGTGTACGCCAGGTTAAACGTGAGGGGCTTGACAAGCGACGCCGGGAGCTGCGAAAGAATTCTGACGCCCAGCTTCCTACGTACCGTCGTAGCGCCCTTGATGCGTTCCGCGACACACACACCCATGAAGCTGCTCTCCGCACTCCCTTCCTCCTCTTGCTGCTGGCTGGGGCACTCATCGGTCTTGTTGTTGCTCTTATTACCGCGCGTTTGATTATTATTGATATTATTATTCTTTTCATCGCCTGCGCCAAGTGACTCCAGCTGCACGCTTTGTTGCGTAAAGTTATCCTCGTCGTACTGAATGCAAAGCCTGACGTTATATGCGCTGCTGCTACTTGCCAGGTTGGACACTTCCACCTCGAGTGCAAGCAAGGTGCCTTCCTTATGCACATGGCACGACTCCACATAGGCTGTGACACGCAAGTAACGTTCCTCCAATAAGACAACAGGGTCAAACGCGGCGGCGGCCGCTGCTGCTGCTGCTGCTGCTGCAGATTGCGGACCTTCCTTTTCAGCTGCCGCAGAAGTACGAAGCTGCAAGAGTTGCGTGTAAGGGATTGCCTCTGGAAGTTTCTCATCAGCTGTAAGAGCTCGCGTGACATCAACGTAGCGGAACTTTTTGGTTGCCTCATCCTCCTCTACTTCTTCTTTGGGTCGTTTTGTGAGGGGCGCCGCGACATAATTCGACGGACGTGAAAGCTCACGGTTCATGGAGTGGGTCTTGCGTGGCATCGATGGACTGGTGCCACGGAGCTGCAGGGGCGCCGCCGGGGCACTCTCCACTTGCGCCCCCGTGGGCAACTCCTCCTGCGTGCGTGTCACGCCTTTGATGTAAAAGGCCGCCACCTCTCCACGTCGCTCTTCCTCCTGCCGCCGCTGGCGCCTCACCGCGCCGGGCCCCAAAAAACCGGGCTCCTCGTCCTCGTCCTCGTCCTCCGTGTTGCCCTCGTCATCGCTGTCGGAGAGGTGCAGCAGCGGCGGAAGGGGAGCGCAGAAGGGCTCGTCGAGGTCAAGGCCCTCAGGCGGCGCCACCGCCCCCTGCGCCCCCACGGCAACGGAGAGCAGCTCCTCCACGTAGAGGCTTGGGCCGACGTCCGGGTTTGTGGCGACGTGGTGGAAGACCAAGTGGGCCCGCTCCTGCACGTCCGGGTAAATGCTGTGACGAAACAGCTGCAGGCCAGCGTACTCCTCCGGCTTGGTGTCGCCGTCGCCCTTTTCCTTTTCCGCCACGCGTTGTGGAAGAATTACCACGCGCAATTCGGCATCCGTCACGGGGTCATCTGGCAGGCTTAGTTCCTCCTCCCCATGCGACAAAGAAAGATGACGCGGGCATGGCTGATGGACGTATGCGGCTATTTTTCCCACCGCAGCGACGCACGCCACCTGCGCCTCAGGGTGCATCGCGCTAATGCGATCACTTAAAAGTCGTTCGCACGTGAGACGCTTATCCCGCAACCAGTAAGGATACTCCCCGCAGAGGAAGGCTGCTGCCTTGATAATCTCCCACTGCGTTGAGCGCGTGGCGTCGCAGTTAAGCAGCGTTGACATACATAGCAGTTCACTGATGGCTTGAACACCAAACTGCCGCACTGCGTTCACCCGCGCCAGCACCGTCACAAGCTCGCGCTGCACGAGGGCGCCGTGCTGGTAGCTGGTTAGATTCACGAGACTGATTTCAAGCAGAACACTGAAGTACCATTCAAAGTCTTGTAACAGGGTGTAGTCGTCGGTCTGCGCCACCTCAATCACGGTGGCAATGACGCGGTTTGACCACTCCTCATCCGGCGGAGACCGGACACGTCGCTCCATCATGCTATTTATGGTAGATACGATGTTCTTTTTCGTCACCAGCCCCTGCAGGATCTCCAGCGCCTTGCGCCGGATGGTCACATCCACGTCGTCAAGACACGCAAGAATAACATCCCGTTGATCGCTGAGAAGCTTCGGACTTTCATGCAAGATACGGGACATGGCGTCAAGTCCCAAGTATTTTAAGTTTTGATCGGCATCCTCTACAAACAGTTTCATTTTCTCCGTTGCCAGCTTCGTCAGGGATGCCACTTTACTCATGCCATTGGCCACAGCAAAGATGCATTCATATTGGACTGACTTCGCCCCGGTTGCATGAATAAGATTGGCAATCGGCTCAACAAGCTTCTTCCCCAGACGAGGCTCGAGTGGAGCGAAATGGCCAAATACCTTGACAATCTTAATCAACGTCCAATTGCTGTGCACGGTGGACAACATCGAGAAGAAAGGCACGGCAAGACCGAGAAAGTTGGCTGGATTGCGGCGGGCCAGCTCGCACAGGATGCATACAATAGCCCCACGCACCGCAGGGTCATTATCGCAGCGTTCGCTGTGGTCATCCAGCTTCTCCTTCAGCCGTGGGTACGTTGGCCGCAGAGCGTCGGGGTACTCCAGGAACACGCGGTACAAGCTAAGCACTGCCTTCTTGCGGACGTAGTTGCGTGGATGATTCAGCAGATTGACGACGTCCACGACAAGGTCCCTCGCAAGATCCCTCGTACAAAGAGAGGAGATGCAGTAAAGCGCCAAGCCCACTTCGTACTGATTCGCACTTGCGAGGTCGCGCTTTAGTAACGCTGTGAGTAGCGGCAAGACTTCCGTCTTGGGGGTAAAGGTGACACATGCCGCCATGTATCCAATGCGCTTGTTTGCAAAGAATCTATCAGCCATCACCTCAATGATGTTAAATGCGCCGTACGCCGCGGAGTAGCCGAGCATGGAGAAGTACACGGCCTTTAGCACCGCCGTCACCTTCACGCTCTGCACCGTGGAGGAAATCTCCTTCCGCGTCTCTGCGAGGCATTGCTCAATCACCTCCGCCTCGCTCTTGGAGGCGGAGCGCAGCTTCCGCACCACCTCCGCCAGGGAGTTCTGGAAGAGGATCTGGCTCGCCACCCGTGTCGCCTCCGCCATCGCAGGTCTGCAGCTGCAAGGTAGCAACAGCGGCTGTTCCAGGCAGGGAGAGAGAGAATTATATATATATATATATATATATATATATAATAATATATATAAT